GTTTCTTTATGAGTTAGCTGTGACACACAATAACTTATCAATACATAGTATATCAAGGTAACAAGGAAATGTGCTCTCAGTCTAAGAGGAAGACTCCACCGTCTAGATTCCTCTTGATGAAGTATGAAAGATGCAATTTGCAGTTTGAGTTTCCTGCTCTTAATCAAAATAAATACAGACTGCCACATCATTTTTCTGCACACTAAGCTTTATATCACTGCTTTGCTCTCTAATGCCCACAGGTTAATCACAGAGGTGAGTACTTTATGACTGCTGCTGATAAAAGGTCACGTCTATTTCTCTTTAAAGTGATGTACTATGTGAAGAGAAAGAGAGAGATAGGAGGACAGAAATTTAAAGACTTGAAGGGATCAAGTGGAAGTATGCGGGCAGTGTGTGCTGACAACACGAGTCTGTCCTCAACATTGTCCAGAACATTTGTCCTCCCCCGGCTGTCTGAAATGTGATTCCTCAGAGCGATGTTAAGTTGACAGAGATGAAGAGGAGAGATGGCAGAGGGAGTGAACATGGATAAAAAGTCTGGGTGATGGATGGTTATACACTAATCAGCCATAACGTTAAAACCACTGACAGGTGAAGTGAATAACATTTATCGTCTTGTTAGAATGCAAAATTCTGCTGGGAAACTTTTGGTCCTGGCATTCATGTGGATTCCCCTTGACACGCACTGCCTACCAAAACAATGTCACGGAACAAGTACACCCCATCATGGCAATGGCATTCTCCAATGGCAGTAGAGAATGCCATTGCCAGTGGTTCTCCCAGCAGGACAATGTGCCATGCCACACCATGAAACCTGCTCAGGAGTAGCCTGAGGAATGTGACAAAGAGCTCAAGATGTCGAACTGGCATCCAAATTCCCCAGATCCCAATCTGTTCAAGCATCCATGGGACATGCCGCTACCCCAGAGGCACCCAGAGGATGACAGTGCCACACTGAACAAACTGCTCAAGAATGGCCCAAGGGACATGACAAAGAGCTCAAGACGTCAATCTGGCCTCCAAATTCCCCAGATCCCAATCTGATTGAGCATCTGTGGGATGTGCTAGTACCCCAAGTCGCAACCCGTACGACTCAAAGGATCTGCCACCAACGCCCTGGTGCCAGACACCACAGGACACCCCCAGAAGTCCTGTATCCATGCCTTGAAAGTTCAGAGCCAAGACCAGTCCAAGGAGGCCCCATCATTGATCAGACTTGGCTCTGACCTATTGAGGCATGGACACTGGACCTCTGGGGCTGTCCTGTGGTGTTTGGCACCAGGGTATTGGTGGTAGATCCTTTGAGGCGTATGGGTTGCAACTTGTGGTACTGATACATCCCACAGATGCTCAATCGGATTAGAATCTGGAGGCCAGATTGATGTTTTGAGCTTTTTGTCTTGAGCAGTTTTTTCAGTGTAGCATGACGTATTGTCCTGCTGGGGGGAGGCACTGCCATCGGGGAATGTTGTTGCCATTAGGGGGTGTACTTGGTTTGCAATGGTGTTTGGGTGGGTGGTGCATGTCAAGAGCAAGCGGCAGCCTCTGGGGCTGAAAAATGAAGCCAGCATGGAGGTGCCAAAAACTGCAGTTCTTTGAGGGGTCACTTGAGGCTGACTCCAGGAGTCCATCCTCATAGACCTCCATGTTAAAGTGTTCAACTCAACAGAGATAAACATGTTTACAGCCTGGAACAATAAACAGTTTAGGTCTCTATGGCTGATTTCAACATTTATGACAACTGTGTGGGGGTAAATTTTCATATAACTCAAACATTTACATTATTATAAGGTTTAAAGTTATGCATAATTAAGGGCAGGGTCGCTTTGAGTGACAGGCTGTCTGTGAGGCATCACTACAGTCCACCCCTCGCTCATCCACAGCTTCACCATCTCAGCCAAATATGGTCCCCACTGGCTCCAAAAATCCAAGATGACGAGAGCCAAAATACCAAACTCAAAGCATTAAAACTGCAGTCGTAAAACCGATTGGGGACGTCATGGTAGCCATGTCCAATAGTTTATACAGTCTATGGTCATGTGGCATCCACATGCATGCCAGGGCCCAATGTTTCCCAGCAGAACACTGCACTGTAACAAGATGATCAATGTTATTCATTTCACCTGTCAGTGGTTTTAATGTTGAGGGCTGTTTGGGGTACTGTAGTCAATGAATCAAAAATTACACTGAATAAATCTAAACAAAATCTTATTTGTTATATAAAAACATGATTGCATATCACTGTGTGCAACAAATGGCTGAAGTTGCACGATCCACATGCATGTGGCTCACAACAGTTGACATCATGTATATGTGAACTGTCCCTCATCACCATGTGGTAGAATAAATATACATTTAAAAATACATGGACTATGATGCCAAAATCTCTTACATACAGCATGTTTAATGTTTTTTCTTCACCTTCATGTCCATAGATGGCCATCTATGAGAGAGAAAATATGTTTATGGATATGTTTGACCCTCATGGAATGCAATTGCTTTCTAATTTGAGCCCAGGGGCAAACATCAGTTCACTCTGCTGCAGTCAAAGGACCACTGCATTCAATACTATTTATACAGCTGTCTCTCTTTCACACAACTAATTTATACAGTGGAGGAGAAATGCTACCTATTATAGGGCACCCTGCCAATCGAACAATGATGTGCCATTGTTCAACTTCCTCTGCTTATATAGCCATTTTCATTCACTCATATCTGGTGCCAATAAACTAGGCGCCTCGAGGCCACAGCCTTTAAGGGCAAATAATGTTTGCTCTGAGGACGTGATGTAAAATCAGACTCCAAATGTCCCCAGTGAGGCTCTTTTTTTGGCATACATATGCACTCAATGTCACATTATAGTTTCTAATGGGACTAAGAAGCAATAAATCAGGACACTGTATAAAGCCATGTTTACATTAAATCTTGTTGCACAAACTGCGCTGATGGTAAATGGTTACATTTTGTCTGCCCGCTCCATCAGAGGCATGGGTAAATTCAGCAAAACACACTCTGTGCTACACATTACAACCTCATTCTTTCAATGAGCTAATTTGAGAGCAATGATCTCATCTATCAAAGCCTCCACAATCAAGAATGAGAGATGCAGATATGGTAGAGGAGATAAGATAAGTAAACTTCTGAAGCCTAAAAATAATTTAGATGTGGATTATGTTCTACTCAGTGCCCAGTATCAGTGATGAGGCTGAGAAATAAAGGACGGGCAAAGTGGATAATCAGTTCCAGAAACTTGGGGCTTTAGGTCGTGTGAGATAAGAACGTCAAGTTCCCTTAAATGGTGAGAGAGGAAGTGAGATGCAGCTTGTTGTAGCAGATGTTTGTCTGTCCAGCAAGAGGTACATACAGTGGTTGTTATTTGGATGCCTTGTGCACTTTGTTGATGTATCTTTTATGAGTTGTTGGAATCAAAGTAAGGACCCTCTTTCCTTTCCTGCAGTTAATAGTATCTTAATGTTTCTATCATTGCTATCATGGAGGTCATAAGGACCTCACTGCCTGACTCTGAAGCTGCAGACAATACAGCAAAAGAGCTGAACAAGCAGGAGAGTATAGCTATATAAAAATATCTGGAGGATGTCTCATTCAACTCAGGATAACCATGTGGATTACCAGTTATGTGAAACCAAGATGAAACATCTTAATAATCATGAGTTATCTCACTATTACAGACCAACATGGCTTAAGTAGCATTGGGGCAGGGGCAACACGGGTGGGTCTGGCTGCACAAACCAACACAATGAGTGCCAAAATGTCAAGACAATCACAGGAAACCGAATGTTAATTTAGAAACCTTTCAAGTGCAGGTTATTCAGCTAACAGTGCTGTGATGAACTGTGCTGTATAAAGCAAACACTCCAAAGCACTTGCAAATACAGTTCTGATTACAAGCAATACACTTAAAGGGTAACTCTGGTCATTTTTCAACTTGGACCCAATTTTAAGATGTATTTGTGTCTAAGTGATGCAGACATATTTGAAAATTGGTCCAGTATTGAGAGAGACCACTGAAGCCAGCAGGAGCAAAACAGGCTGCAGCGTAACCCCTGAGGTCAGGCTCAGATTTTTATTCTTGGTGTCTGACAAATAGACCTTTTTGTTAGAGAGTAAGTAATTCTTTTTATTTAACCAGAAACTGCCCAAAAATCACCATCATCAAACCCACCAGACTCCATTTAAATAAACAGTAATTTTATCTTTGTAAAGCACACTTCATTCAAAGTTGACAGAAACAAAATAAAAAACTCACAAAAGCTATCTCGGTTCGTCTTTCCACTTTCCCAACAAACGCCGACTCTAGTTTGGTTACGATAAACCCTTAACTCACCCAGTTGGAGGTGAAAATACACTGGTTTGATGCCTGTAAAATTATTGTTTACTTAAATGGAGTCTGGTGTCTGTTTGACAATTTCGGATCTGTTCCTTGTTAAACAAAAAGGATCTTTCTCTTTAACAAAAGCTTCTATCTCTGTAGGGGTCATTTCCATAATGTTGTCAGACACTTAAAGCAACAATCTGATCCTATCAGTGGCGAAAACAAGCACATATGGTGGATGTAAATTGATGTTGCTCAGTTCCCTGCAGCGATTACATTACAGCCTGTTTAATGCTGGACCAATTTCAAAAATTGCTGTTCCCATTAGTCACTTAGACACAAAAACATGAGAAAATGAAGTCCAGGTTAGAAAATAAAAATAGTAGTTACCCTTTAAGTTTACAAAATTTTAAAAAATAGAGTTAACTCCCTGTCTTCATATTGTTAAACTGACATGATGTAAGTAATCAGATACATTTAACCACAGTATTAGACTAACCTGTATTTATAAACTATGCCACATGTTAGGAATGAACAGACAGTAGCTATAAGGCCTCAACAGGTTACACCAAAGTGTCACTGTGTCCAGCCTTGTCTTTGGTGATGCTGCCACCATGTGGTGAACAATAAAATAGCACATCCACAAATGTTTTTCAGTCAATAGTTAAAAAATACAAAACATTTATTTTTGAGCAACTAAAACACAGTATAAAAGACATTTGTAGATTTAAATAGAGAAGAAATCAAGGAATATTATCTCAACTTTTTGCTTGAATTATTGAAAAAACAAACAACATGGATTAATGCAAGCAGCACCATCATGACTGGTGCTAAACCTAAATAATTAAAAAAAAGGCTTTCTGGGATCATTGGCAACTCACAGAATAAAATTATACAGAGGATTTGTGCATTTTTACCAGCAGAATTCAGATAGTCCATGCTGTGAGATTACACTCAGGGGATAACACAGTGGAAAAACTACGGACAAGAAGATAATGTCACTTAAATCCCCCCAGAAAAGTGTGTGCAAGTGGACCAACTTTTAGGCATCTGGTCCAGGTGCTGTGTTGCTGGTAGCAGGCAGAGAGGAACCCTGCAGAAACACCTTTCCACTGTTGTCACTGCTGTTCACAAAGTGGCTCACCAGGCCATAGAGGAGAGGTCTGAAAAGTAACGTGAAGAAATTATTCTTCAAATTATTTTGAAGTCTTTTTATCGCAAAGACTGAGTGAGAGAAAAAGGTCTAAGATCCTACACCAGCAGGTCAGTTTTAATACTGGTACATGCCACCAGTAATGAATCTAACCGTGTTTTCATTTTTCCCTGATGGCACACAGAGATGAATGGTAGGAAAAGAAACAGTGATATGAAAGCAAAACAAGCCAGACTACAATCCCCGTTGTATCTGCTAAGCCATGAACTAACCCCTCCCCTCCCTCCCCCGAGGAGTAAAAGCACAATTTCACAACACAGATTAATCATCATGTTTAACCACAGTCATGGTGAGAACGAGGTGAAATTATTAGAACTCTCTAGGTATTTCTTGACAGAGCTATAAAGATGGTGATGACTCGCAGACCTTGTGAAATTACTCTCCAGTAACTGACCATACTTCCAGGAAGTTCTCTAAATCTTTGAACACTGTGTTGGACAACAGACTGTATTGCTCTTACACAGACTTGGAGCTCAGATCCTCTGAAACTTTCAGCTCATTTGCCAGGAACTGTCTGTCCAAGGGAACTTCAGGTTGGCCGGACTCTAAGAAAACAAACAGAGCTGAGTTTAGACGGAGTGAACTTTGCTCTACAATAGTTACCGGTTTAGTTTCGAAAACAGCAGCTGGAATATGACATCTAACTCAGAGTCTATTTTGTCTTTGGCTTCTGCACTGAAAACATTTCTCTACTAAAACTGTTATTGTTTTTATTAATTGAACATACTGTAATCAATCAATCCAATACAGTCTGGAAGGGCATAATCCTAATCCTCATAATCACAGTCTTGGACTACCCTTTTGATTTGATAGAAGAGGTGGGTGAGAGGAGGATGTTAGCCAAGCTGATGACATCAATCATGGACGACACTTCTCACCCCCTGCAGACTGTGAGAGCTTCAAGCAGCTACATCAGCCACACTCACACAGCAAAAAGGAGCACCGGCATTTCAGGTTACATACACCAATCAGCCACAACATTAAAACCGCTGACAGATGTCGCGAATAACATGATCGATGGGAGACGCTGGATCCTGGCATTCATGTTGATGCCACCTGACATGCTCCACCCACACAAACACCTTTACAGACCAAGTACACACCCTCATGACACTGGCACTCCCTGGTGGCAGTGCCCCCTCCAGCAGGACAATGTGACACGCCACACTGCAAAAACTGCCTAAGAAAGGCCTGAGGAATGTGACAACGACCTCAAGGCCTCAACCTGGCCTCCAAACTCCCCTGATCTCCATCTGATCTATGGTCAGAGCCAAGTCCAATTCAAGGAGGCCATGGACTGGGGGTACGAGGGGTTGCTTGGACCGAAAGCTCCCAGCAGAACATTGCACTGTAACAAGATGATCAATGATATGCCCTTAACCAGCCACTCCTAAATCAGCAGGTATACACGTACACGTCCATATCCTTATATTCTTTATATTGTGCAACATTTCTACTTTCCTATGGTGCAATAATATGCATCTTACTGTGCAATAATATTTATAGATTTCTGTTTTTCCGGTAAAGTACTGCACACCATCTGTGTGTTACAATTATCCTTTGCAGCTATCAATCAGTATGTGCATTTTGTGTTAATGTCCCGTCCTGTTTGTGAAGACAGTAGATGTGTTGGGACCTTTATCCTTTCACCCACCTGCTGTCAGTACAGATGCAGCGTATCTGTACTTGTTGAACTCCAGGTACTCCCGGATGAGCTCGTTGATGAGCAGGTTTTCGTGGGACAGCGGCGGACGAGGCTCCCGCTGGTCATCCAGGGCGCTGAACACCTCTGCCCGGATACGAGCTTTCAACTGACCCAGGACACCACGGGACTCCAGCGTTTCCCTCACCGCTAAAATATTCAGGTTTTATTAGATTAAACAGAAGTGATTAACTTTCCTTTTGACCAAATAACTAGGAGCTTCCTTGCGTTGTGTTGTGTTAACATATCCCGCTAACTTTGGCTCTAATATTTGCCGAATTCCACTCATTAATTCGCTGATTTAGTGTTTCCTTACTTGTTGACAAAGATACAGACAAGCTCAAATGTGATTCAATAACTTATCAGAACCACTACGAACCAGTCTTCAAATCGGGATATATGTGATTATTCAAACTGTCTTCTTCTTAAATGTACTTTACAATTTATTCCTACAACCATACAAGCTAACCTAGCGTTAGCCAGTGTAGCTCACCTTACTAGCTGGATTCTGTTCACTATTGTAAAGCTGGCGAGCTGTGATAAATCCACGAAAAGCTAAAATTGTTTGGCGCCTAGGTTCAAATTATGAATGCCGAACTGAAATTTAGACATTAGCAATAGAGCTAGCCTTGGTTCGCTTTGAAGCGTCAACTTGCTGACAACTAGGGCCTCTTAGCTTTCTAAATTGTTGAAATTTTGAATGAAGACTCGTACACAGGAGGAAGTCAAGTTGTTGTGGTGAAACTAACGTTAATTTGGCAAACCAGTGCGAACATCAACGTTACTAACGTGTGCAGTAAAGTGATCTGTCGTATATCTGTTCCAGTTTGATTAAAGACTACAATAAGTGGACGAAATAATGAATGAAAGTGAGCGCTTACCACACTTGAGTTCAGCGATGGTCGCCATTGGAACAAGTGTAAACAAACGACAGTCTGCCGCCGTTCATATCATAGACTTCCGCCATCTAGTGACGGAGTGGTGTAACTACAACGAGCTGGTTCATAAGACCCCAAACATCACATCCAGTCTGCACAAACCTTACACTATGTATGACACACAATATTAACTATGATGGACGGAAAATGATTTAAATAAATAAATACATAAATAAATGCATAAATAAATAAGTAGAGGAATAAATAAATAAGGAAATAAATAGAGTAATACCACAATGTAGATAATCAACATTCATTTATTTATGCATTTATCTATTTTTTTCCATATTTATTTCAACATTTATCTATTTATTTTTTGTTTTGTTATTATGCATGCATTATTTATACCGATATTATTTTTATTTCTGCATTTATTTTCTCATTTTTTCTTTTACTTATTTATTTCTGTATTTATTTATGTAAGTAATTTTCTCATTCTCCACAATTAATACTACTCATGAGATCAGTGTGATATTTATTAATATTCACATATATTCATTTAATATTTAAACACTTTTTTTTTTTAACAAAACCAGCTCAGTGGCCTAGTGGTAGAGTGTCCACCCTGAGACTGGGAGGTCGTGGGTTTGATCCCCGGCCGGGTCATACCAAAGACTATAAAAATGGGACCCATTGCCTCTCTGCTTGACACTCAGCATCATGGGTTGGAATTGGAGGGTTAGATCACGACACGACTTGCTCCCTCAGGGGATGGGTCAAATGCAGAGTACAAATTTCACACACTCAGGTGTGTGACAATCAGTGGGACTTTAAACTTTAAACTATCCACCACCAGGTGCCCAACTCAGACCCTATCTTAAGTGACTAATAGGAACAACAATTTTTGAAATTGATCTAGTAATGAGAGAGTGCTGCAGCTGCAATGTAAGCATTTGGGGTATTTGTGTACTGTCAATTTACGTCCACTTAAATGTTTGTTTCTTGCCACTGGCAGGCTCAGACTGTTATGTGTCTGACAACATTATGAAAACAACCCTACATAGATAGACGTTAAAGAGTGAGATCCTTTTTAAATTAAGTTACCTGTTAAGTTAGAGGACTCAAGCCATTGCGATTACAGCATGTAAAGATTCACTGAGCTGGTCAGTGGTCTTGCTGGATGTTCTGGTAGATATATAAATAATTGGCATACACATACACAACTCTAATGCAGGTAATTTGTATACATGTTAAATAGCAATGGACCCAGAACTGACACCTGGTGAATCTCAATGCTATCAGCATGGAGAGTGGACTTCAGACCTGCTGAGGGAGTCTTAAGACGTCACTTTGACATCTTTCTGATAAATCTCTTTTTTTATTTAAATATGCTTTTTAAAGAACATGCATACGTGTTAATTGATCTGGCCCCAACAATCATTTCCCAAAACATGAATTCAAGCGTAGTGTAGATTCAAATAAACTTTATTATTCAGCATGATGTATGGAACAAGACAGTACATTGACATTAAAAATGAAAAAATGAACAAGCTTGTTATAAAAAGTATAAATATAATACAATCCTCAGAATCTTAAGGACACTTAACACATTTTGTCACATGACATAAATAAACTATAGGGTATCTCTTACAATGTATTGTCTAAACCAGTAAGACAAAAACAGTAAATGCCTCTTCTCTTTGAAAAGTTCATAGGGTTTTTCTTTGAATCGAGAGTAAAGGTCAACGTGGACTATTTACAGTCTGTCATGTCAGCACCATAACAACAATAATGATTTTTTTCCTTCTCTGCATATGGCCTGAGTCGTGTGGTGGAGGCAGAGACACAATCACAGAGATTTATCACCATTGTTTTGAAGAAGCATTCTCTTCATTCGTGGCGGTTTTCACTACCGGCGTCAGGTTAAATCTGACCAGCGAGGACTCTATTGACTTTTTTATGTGTTTACTTTGACAGAAATAAACAACAGCCGCAACATAGTTGGACGATTGCTAATGCGTTGGCTCACTTCAATGTTTTCCTCTTTTTCGCTGACATATAAAAACTCCAAATTGGCTGCTCAGATTTTGAAGGCAGTGAAAACCTCATTTCCCCTGCGTTTGCCAGGGTGAACCTTTTGAAGGTTAGTGTGTCAGAGTATTTCCTGTCCCAGTTTCTGGGTCAAGAAGAGAAAAATAGACTTCTATCAATTTACAGTTACACAATTGCCTCTTTCTTGGTATACAAGGCTAAAAAAAAGTGAGTAAACATCAACATTAAGCCTGAGACAACATCAAAAAATATGTCATGTGCTTTATAACACTTATAAAAACTACAAAAATAAGATAAGCTCCCATTCAAAAAGAGAATGAAAATCCTTAAGATCTGTGGTACTCTTAGCTTGTAGCTCTTGGCTTTATCCTTTCATGGAAAAAACTGACTCTGCTACGCTATATACATATTTAAAACGTGGAGACTCAACAATCCACTGTAGCTTTCTTTTGAGTGTTCATCATCTGAGTCTTTAGGACAGCATGTCTGTGAGTGTTAAAAACAAATAGGGACTGCGTCAGCTGCATCTCTTGAGATTCATCGACAATGCCCCCCATGGAGAGGCATTCTGAGCTGCCACAAAGCAAATGGCCCGATTTAATGTGTGCTGGAGAGCCATACGAAGAAGACGCCACATCTGTACACTTGGACACCGGCTCCGTGGTACGAAGCCCAGCAAAGACTTAGACCAGCCCAGCTTCCCGGCACATTCGGTAGAACTGTCCCCGCTGTGCGATGAGGTTGGCTGGAGAGTCCATCTCAGAGATGAGGCCTCTGTCCATGACGATCACTCTGTGGAGCAGCGAAAGACAAGGAAGACATGTTTTAAATCCAGCACTTTTTATTATACCAGGTCTAACACATATACATATCTTCACATATCTTCACTTGTTATACGTAGGATGCAGCACTGGTATGTTTTAATGCACTGATTCCCAACTGGTGGGTCGTGGGTCCATTCCGAATGCTTTTTTTATTCTACTAAATGCTATAAATATCATGCACTTAGTGGACTGTAATGTACCTTGTGTAATCCATAATAGTGTTGAGGCGGTGAGCGACGGTCAGGACGGTGCAGTCCTCAAACTGCGTGCGGATTGTTGACTGGATGAGTGTGTCTGTCTCCAGGTCCACAGCAGCTGTCGCCTCGTCCAAAACCAGGATCTTGGTTTTCCTCAGCAGGGCCCTGGCCAGGCACACCAGCTGGCGCTGACCCAGACTACACAGACAAAGGAGAGGGATAGAATTTTTTATATCCTGAAACTTTGTGTGGATTTCCCTGTAATAATATATTGGTGACTGACTACGCAAAACAATGGATAAAGCTTTATTTTTATATCTGTGTACCTGAGGTTTTCTCCACCCTCGGAGCATTCATGGTTGAGTTTGTCAGGCAAGTTGGAGACAAAGTTTTTGAGGTGAGCGAGCTCAAGTGACCTCCACACCTCCTCATCGGTGTAGGTGTCAAAGGGGTCGAGATTCATCCTGAGGGAGCCTGAGAACAGCACAGGGTCCTGGGAGAGGCAACAGCAGATGTTATTCATCACCAAACAGTTCAGACTTGTAACAGGATTATTAAAATTTAGACTGGCTCATTTTACATTGGATATGGATCGCAGCTCTTGTAAACAGTTTATGTGATGAAAGCCAGGGCTCAGTTTCCATTGTTACTTCTGTCCCACCTGAGGAATGATAGTAATGCGAGATCTGAGGTCATGGAGTCCAATGTCGGCGATGTTGACTCCGTCTATAAAGATCTTTCCCTTTGCTGCCTCTAAGATCCGGAAGATTCCCAGGGCAAGTGAGGACTTCCCCGCTCCCGTCCGACCCACAATTCCAACCTGGAAAAGAGGTTTTTATTTAGAATTTGTGTGTGACACAAAACAGCAATTCAATTTAAGTGATCCAACATTATGCTGGTAAAGACTGTTTATCATACAAGCTGACTCACCCTCTCTCTTTCATGAATATTCAAGGTAATGCCCTTCAGAGCCAACTCAAGGCCTTTACGGTACTGCAGCCCATATTCCTGGAACTCGATGGTGCCTCTCTGGGGCCAAGCCAGTGGCAAGGAGCTGCCTTCGATGGTCCAACTCGCCTGAACGTGACAATAAGAAAGTGTGAGTACAAAAAAAACAGCTCTCTTGTTGTACAGTATTGGATTAATCGTCTTGAGCAGTGATATGTTTATGTGTGTGGGGTGGGGACGCTGACCTCTTTAGCAGTTTCAGCATACTCATTGACTCTCTCCACAGAAACAATGTTGTTTTCCACATCAGTCCAGGCTCTCACAATCCAACTCAGGATTCCAGTCACCTGCAACACCCAGCGCAATGAGGTTTAGTTGAGTTTATTTGCATGTCTATATATAACAACAGTCAGTAAGGATTTAGAAAAGCTGGAACATTGTGCAGGAGAGGTTATAGAAGCCAAAAACAACTTATGATGATACGTCCCCTATTTCTAAACACAAGTTGAGCTGCATTGTATAGGATTCCATGAAGTGTGTGTGAATAATGAAAATGTAGATTTTGATTGTCAAAGGTTGTAGAGGTTTACCATAAACCTTCTTTACTGCACTGAAAATACATTTGCTGAGCAAAGCATTGCGTTTATATTCCACTTGTTCCAGTTTAACCTCTAATTGCCACATGCAGGCTGTAACTGGAGTCCCACAGCGCGTGTGTGTGAAATTCTTTGATGTTAATAAGTCGGGTATTGGAAAACCTCCAGAAGAGCAAGGGCACACTCAATTTCGGCAGCTTTTTAACCTTTATTGGACTACAGTGGTCTGCTCTTTATGAGTGCACCTGACTGGTGCCTAAAGAAGTTGGATACTGGATATCAATGTGCTATATGTTTTATTACTGGTTGTGGAAATGACCTTCTATGTACTTCTGCAGACTTTTGCATTGGTTGGTTTTATATATAAATTTCTCTGTGGACTTCTTATCCGTGTAAAAACAAACATTCTGACAATATTATGCAGATGTTGTTCCCCGAGGTC